GTAGACTGTGGAACCCCATAGTAAGCACACGTTTTCGTTAGTACTTAACCCAAGGTGAGTTGCAGAGAGAAATGAGCTAGGATGCTGCAGAAGTGCCTCTGCGACACTCTGCCTTATAATTCTCAGGGGACATGTAGGAAGACTATCTGTTTTTGAGAATTTATCCATTAATCTAAATTTTAGAACCAACAAATTGATAATCTTATAAAATTGCCTTAAAATCCACAACTAAAAATGTTTATAACCTTAAAATGCATAAAAAAATTGGTGAAATCTTTTTTCTGTTTCATTTCATAGTGAGCTAGATTTTTACTTTCCTTATTTGGACAGGAGTGTGTTATTTCCAGAGAATGAATCATTGGGTTTCAAGGGATTTTAGGCTTGTCTAACTGACTCAATGACTACAGTTTCATTGGACCTATCTTCCGACTGCATCAGATCTTGGAGCAGTGAAGCACAAAGCAGAAATACATAGCAGAGTTCCTTCTTTTCTTTCACTCAGGTGGAAAGAAGAAAGTGAAAGGGAAAAATTCAGGAACTTCAGAACACTTAGAAAAACATAAGGTGTCTTGATGTTTTTTATTTCCATTTTCAGAACTGTCATCCTTCTCCTGCACTCAAAGACAATGCCCAATGCCATTACAGTAGAGTCTGAATACATTCCTTAGCAAAAAGATATCAGGTGAATGTTCAGCAACAACAGAAACTTCTAACTGAACATAGCAGATTGAATTCCTGAGTTTATCAAATCGTTGTTTTCTGAAGTTTATAATTACTCTTTTACTGAAACAACAGCACAATGATAGTAAAGGTATAAAAGAGGTATAATTCTCTCCTGACATATATATACGTATAGGTACACATGCACAAACACACACAAAGACCGTAAGAGGACTTAACTAACAGTGGGAGAAAGGGAGATAGCAAATATATACATGGGTGATATTTGGCTTAATGCATAGGAGAAAACTGGTCTCAGGTCCTACAGAAGAGAATGCAGCCAAGAAGCAAGTATATTCACTTTAAACCTAAATATCTTGCCCCATAAATATTATGACCAGAGGTAGGAAAGCACTGGTTTGGGACCTAATTCTCAGACGGCACTTAATTAATAATTACCTGTTGACTGGCTGACTGCTGAACTCCTGAACTCACTGACCAGAAGACTGGATGATTCTAAGTGTGAGGGTGAAGCCTGACTCAGGAACTGCAGGCTCCTACGTTACCTTTCACAACTCTACAGTCTTGGAGCAGTATGGGAAACACACATAGCAAGTGGTCATAAAGACCTCCCTAACTCACCTCATTAGCAATTAAATCAAAGTATACAATTGGAGAAAAAAGCATAGTAGGATGAAAGACCAAATTCTTGTCTCTACCTTATAGATAACCAACCTGTACTTTGTATATGCCACCTGAAGTATGATTTAGAAAAGACAATACATCCCTGAAATTCCATCATTATAATTCCATTCCTTTTATTAAACTCTGAAGCTTGTGTTAAAATTTAAACTACATTTAGATCATTTGTAATTCAGTGTGAATAAGTTTCAGGTCCTTTTCCAAGGAAGAATATAAGATACAGTGCAAAGCTTGGTGAAATTGGGGGAAATGGGCATGCAAACAAGAGCTGAGAGAGTCAGAGACCAGCTTCATTTCTGTAGCTCTATGGGAGTAGATCCATGGATCTCAGTGGTATCCAGCTTCCTGCACAAGCTTGATCCAAAGCGGGAGTGAATTTTTATTTTGAAAATAAATTTGTAAAAAAACTGTTGAACGGAGACAGGGTGACAGGCAGGTAGACCAGGATTTGTGTGGCTTCCAAATACTTATTGAACATGTTGCTGAAACTCCCAGGTTGTATATTAACCAGCTGTGGATTACCACCGGGGATTAATTTAGATTTATGTAGAATCTAAGCTTCCATATCAGTCTCGAGGTGCTAAAGAAATGGATTGTTAGGCAAAGCTTTAGAATCCAGCCCAGGGACTTGGACTTAAAACATTTCAGAGGGGATCAGAGGTTCTGGGATGATCAAGTCTAAATTCCTAATCCCTGTATACACATTTGATCATTTATTCAGCACCATGATTCATATCATCACCAGACATGCTGCGTGAAATGTTTTCTCGACCTCCTTCACAGACCTCCCAGCAAGTCATTGAGATTTTCCTATTGGAAGTCATCTGAATATTGCACTTCAGTATTCATGTATACAAAGGCTGCTAAATCATGGATATCATAGGAGCTTGGATCAATTTATTGTTATGTGCTCTCATTTTTATTATCAAAATTTAAAACCATATTCAGTTTATTGATACCAAAATTTTTATGTGAAAAAAATAAAATTTCATAAAAGCTGTTGTCTCTTATTTCTAGCACAGTATATGAGCTTTATTGACAATGTCAAGAGATCAATTCATTGTGAAGAATTTCCTCCTAGCCAAAGTGCAGTGGATTATTTAAAAGTCCAGGCATCCGAAGTGGCTGGTACCCTCTTCTTTTAGTCATTTACAAAATATTCATAGATGTAACCCCAGTTTTATTTTTCATTGTCGGAAAATCTCAATTATAGCAAAACATAAAGCCCTCAGCGAGGCTAACAAACTGGAAAAGAGATAAATTTGAGGACTTAAAAAATAGGGAGAGACGAATGCAGCTCATGTGGAGTCCTAATTGTTGGTCAGGGGCTCTAAGGAAATTGTTTGGAAAGATTGAGCTATAGCTGCATGTTACAGTTGGTTGAAGTGAAGTTACTGCTTTGGTTCTTAACTTTTGTACTTAAATCGATAGTCATTACTTCTTTCATCCTACAGAATCTCTTCTTTTGAATTGCATCATATGTTGTATCATATATTGCCTCGTATTGCTAATTTGTTTCTATGAGCATTTCTTGTGTTTTTAATTATATTAACTTATTCTGTATATCCTCACCTGTTTTCCTCCTTTCAGAGGACTATTTTAGCACGTAACAAGCACTAAGTGAATGTTTGTTGATTGATTAGCATCATTGATTGACACCCACAGATTGCACAGTGGTGACTGTTCTATTTGAACTTAGTAAAATTATTGTGGAATTCACAGCCAAATTAAACTACTGTTTAGGGATTTTTACATTTTATTTCAGAAGTGTCTGATTGTATATTATATGTGAAGGAAATTGACATCCATGCAAATGAAAACAGTACCAATGACTTCCATTCTGCTTGTCACGAATGCCCCACCTGTGCCTCAGTTTGGTTGTTTTGTGATGGAGAGCTATGGTTATGCAGTCTTAGTATTTATTGTAGGGCTAAACTTGACTAAGTTAACAGATCTAGATCCAGTTCCACTGCCTCCACTGTCTTGCTGTTTCCTTGAGCAAATCACTCTAACTTATTCTGAACTCACTTTCACCCTCCATAAATTTGGCAGAGAATAGCATTTTTTATAGCTTTTGCATAGGATTATGTTATGTGGATAAAATGAGATAAGGCTTTTGAAAGAATTTTGAAATGTTAGAATGATCCTCACTTCTTTATGTCCTAAATTAATATAATCATTGTGTAATATTTTTTAAGGAATTATCAATTAGAACTGTTCTTTTATCCTTTAGAAAGCAAAATACTACAACTCTGGTTCGTAAAAGTAAGTATAGACTGCTCATTTGTAACAGTTATTAGTACTGGTAGCTGTTCTTTTTAGATAATATTTTTGATCCATTAAGAAAGTTTGAGAAGAAATGAGTTGTTTTTCTTTTCCGTAGTAGAGATAATCATCATTGCTTATGTAATGTTCTTATATTTTCACACATCCTTTGTTCTTGCATTCATTGGTTCCTTTCCCCCCAACCCATCTCCTATACAGCATAACTTGTAGCTGTTAACATTAACCTGACTTAGGAAGATTAGTTGTTTTTGAGAAAAAGATAATGGTTTTGGCCCATGAACCCTTTGATTATGTTGTTCTTCATATTCAGTTGTTGAAATTCTGCGCATCTTAAATAGCTTCTTGTCCATGAAGCCTTTGCGTTCTCACTGCAAACATTTTTCCTCTTCTGGAATCAGCTTTTTCTATCTACCTTTCTTATGGAATTAGCCTATTTTGTTCCATACTACTTTTATGTTTGCTTATTGAGGGTTTTTTGTTTGCTTATTGAGGGTTTTTTAAACTTCTTTTATTCTCTGTTTCTATCTCTATTGACGAAACCATGAGCTTCTTATATTGTGTTCTACATATTAAATTCACAAGAGTGAGTAGGAGGTTTTTCTTAGGCAATAAGAAGTCTATAAAGAGTTGTGGAACTAAATTAGATTGTTGGGCCACATTTTTAGAAATGGGTATCAAACCAAACTTCTCATGGAACTGGACAAGTTTAAAGAGTAAACCTCCTCCAGTGTTAATGTTCTGAAAAAGAGTCTTGAAGTGTGACTGGAAGAGAAGAATTAAGCTGTTTGACCAATAAATGCTAATGAGTTTGGGTAATACGTATGGCTAGAAATCAGTAAGCAGATATTTCAAACACTTGGAGTCATGAAATGTTCTACAAAGTTAAATATTTGATTAAAATGTTTGATACACAGGACACACGTTTAAAGCTTATTAAGAGTTTACCAAACATAAAAGAAGTACTCTAGAATTTGGACAGGTTTTAAAAACAGGGTAAATCCTGCATATTTGAAATACAACCTGTACTATGCAGTTTCCTTAGCCCTTTGTTTAGGCAAAAAAATCAAATCTGAACAAATATTTTCAAGGAATGCTGTTTAGAAAGAAATGAAACTTGAACAAATATTTTCGAGTAGTACCACAAATGCTTTGTTTTTTATTGTCGTAGCATGAAGGGATTATGCTGAGTTATAACATTCCCTAGTTTCTGGAATCCTATGAAGGCCACAGCTATACAAAGCAATAGGGTTTGTTAACATGAGCACAATCATGGGTTTCCTGAGCCTTTAAAATTTCTGTGCATTATTTACATTTGCCCTGCCTATTTGATTCACATTGTATTTTCTTCTTAGATTATTAAAACGCGAAGAAAGTTTCACATTCATTCCTCGGTCCCGTGAAGAGCTTCCAGATAACTTTCCAAAGGAAATCCCTGGGATCTGCTATTTCCTCGAGGTAAGGACTGGGCCAAAGCCGCCAAAGCCTTCTCTTTCTTCATCAAGAATAAAAAAAGTTTCCTACAACATCGGCACCATGTTCCTCCGGGAGACAAGCCTCTGAGACCTGCTGCAGATCAAAGACTCCTCCAAAAAGCACAAGCCCAGAAGATGGGTCACGACAGGAGAGTGGAAAGAGATTGTTTCTCTTTCAGTGAGTGCTTTGTTGAAAACAAGCAGCGGAATTTCTGTGTTATGTCAGGCAATAATCATAGAAAATGTGGGTGACTGCTGTCAATACAAAAGCTGGAGCATGAGGGGAAATAAGATATGTCCATTCATGAGAGTGTTTTTGGTCATATGTATACATATATATATTTTAATTACAAGTATGGATCCCCTTTCAAAACTAACCAAGAAATAGATTCTGTTTTCTTGTTTGTCACACATACAAGTATCTTTCCATATATATTTGTACCACTTTTGAGAGCCAGTTTTGATTATATATTCCTACATTTAGTGAGTTGGTAGGTGAGGAATATTTTCTAATTTTCTTTTTCTGAACAGACATTTCATACATATATCATGGCAGTGTGGTAAACTTCCCAACCGGAAGAATTGTAACTCGGCAAAATATTTTAGGAATATTACCTATTTTTATACATATCTCTTCTAGACAATTGCATTTCACACAACATTATTAGATTTTCCGAATCTCCTACTATATTGTTGGTATATTATGTAATGCTAACCTATTAATCTAATATAGTTTCACTTATTTAGAGAGATTAGTGCTTGGTCTGAGAATATATATAACCAAGGATTTCAGATGCTGAGAAAGCATTATATGTCTGTTTAGTAAATATCATTTAGATTTAATTAATGTAGCATGGAATCCAAAGGAAATAGAATTTCCTAATAGCAGAATACCTGTAACCAAGATTAAGGAAATGTTTCTTTTGCCATCTTCTAACAAACATCAGTTAAAATGATTTGCTTTGCTACATTGGACCTTTTTCAACTTAGTACTTATAAATATATGTAGTTTTTGCAACATTAACCTGCATTCTAATAAGCAGCATTCTACCAAATGACATGTTGGTAACTCCCCTTTCCTTTCCCAATTCATGCCTCCTAAGGGCTGACTGCCACTTGGAGAGCAAATTCCTGGATACTGGTGTTAGTGACAAATAGGTGTCAGGACGTGTTACCAAGAATGTTGTTTCTTCTTGTGTAAAACAAAGCAAGGAAAACCCTGTATTTTATGGCACTGAGATTTTTGTTTAAAAATGTTCTGCAGCTTGATTGATGTGGGTTTTAAACTCAGTGAATTGTCTTCCTGAACACTGAAGTTTAACATCGAGAACTAGTAATCACTGTACCTACAGATAGATTTCCATTGCATGTCCTGCTAAAATGAAGACCTCTTCCCATTAATCAATACTGCATGAAAGTATTATTATTGGCTCACACTAAAATTAGGAGCACAGTGTGTCCATAGTTATCTTATTTCAGATCGGATATAAAACCTAAGTTTCTATTGAGGTTAATGAGCTGGAAGCATTTATTTCCTTGAAACCCTGGAGTGGTCATTTTCTTACTCATTGGTAGCTTATGTCTACTGAATGCAATATATTTCTTTTCTGTTCGGGGGTTATGGCTGTATTATGATTTGGTTATGACATAACTCAGCTAAGAAGTATATTAACAAATTTGCAATGTAGTCTGTGAGGCTTAATTAATATTTCTGAGTTCTCTAAGTGTGTGGCTAAAAAACATTTAAAATATGCAAATATTTGTTATAATCGTGATCCCTTTTATACTTTGAGCCTGTTCTCACCCTGGGGTTTGTAAGGATACTAGCGTTACACTTTTTATGTGGAGAAAAAAGGACATAGACCCTGAGCTCTCTAAACCCCTCCCTGACCCCTCTTCCCTGGGCCTATGTCTCTGTTTTTAACTACATGGGGGAGAGAAGGCCAAGATTTACAGGAGGCTACATGTAGGCCGAGGGCAGGGTATTCTCATGGGAGTAATAACGCACAGAGAAATCTCTTCAGGGTACTGGATGATTAACCCACTTCCTCCACAGGGGACAGTGGGGAGGTTTACAGCTAGTGTGGACAGCACAGGCTGGGAGCAACTCAATCCTCATGGTGGTATTAGAAACTGTGTTAGCAATGTTGATGGGCTTCTAATAGCATGGGACATGGGGAGAGAACCAAACTCGCTGAAGTCATTTCTACTTATTCTGTGCAGTAATGTAGAGCTTTTAGGATATATTAAATCAACAAACATTTTGGTGATAAACAATGTGTTCTGCAACATAAACAGAGGGACTTCCAGGAATCATCTACTCTATTTCTCTGTCTTTTGTAAAGATTTGTCTAAGCAACTATTCTAAACACATGGTTATTCTCTCTGTACTTAAGAATATCTATGGGAAACATATTTTAAAAGCATCATTGGAAATCCACTCCACTATCTGGTACTTGGTGATAAGGCTCGAGATGAGGATTGTATATATACATTCAATTTGTCAGAAGAATCACAAAATCTGTATTAGTTCATATAACTTTACTTAGAGAAGTAGCCATTTACATTGTCACAAATGTCACACTGAATAACATGACAGAGATCTCTTATATATCACCAACAGGAATTAGACTCTATTTTTCATACAGTATAATCTAAATGTATTTTTGAAGCTATTGTCTGAGGCAATGGTCTAATCTATTATCATTTTGCCAACCTATTACAGTTGATGATTATAGTTACACTGTTGCTGAATGTGTTTGTAAGGTACTATGTAAAATGTCTGTTCATTCTAGCTGCAGTCACGGAAGTTAGAAGCTGTGAAAAAGCATATATTTTTATTTGTCCTACACAATGCAGTCCACATATTCTCTCTTAAGAACTGTGACTGTAACAATGTGGTGGCATTTGGTATTTCATTTGACTAATATCTATACAGTGTCTTACTTACTTACAAAGTATTGCATACAGCATGCATTTTCGTTAAAAGGAATTTAAATGATGTTCCCTTAGAAACCAAGCAGTTGGGGAAATGGCTTTAACCCACTCTAAAAGGAATTCTTTGAAGTATAATTTGGCCCCTACAGTTCCTGTATTCTGATGTTTTCTCAAGCAGCTAATTTGAAGAAGGCACTTTATGACTATCCATCAGTACCAAAGGTTCACATTAGCCTCAGGATCATTCGGAAGAAAGGAATGCCATCACCTGCAAATAAATCAGTTATCTAACAAAATCAGAATCCCCCAACATTGGCTCAAAATGTACTGCACAGTATCTGCTTTGCGAACCTTAATGATTAGGTAACATTGGCCATAATGAAAAGAATAATAATAAGAGAAAAAGAAACATATTTAGTTGAATCTCTTGGCCGTGTAATGTAGGGAAAGGGAAGAAGACATAGCTTCTGGGTGACATGGAACCCAACTGTCTAAAACTGCCTCTGTATTATCTCTTATATTTCAAATTATTTTGGGTTTCCTTTTTAATATCTGATTCTGTGTGGAATCTAGTGAGCTGTGACCTATTGTGACTTTGAGACAAACATCCTTGCCTGAGACTTGAGAGCAGGTCCGTGGATTCAGCACTTCAAATGATAACTCAGTCTCACACTTCTTCCTCTGGTCCAGTGACAATGCTACCAAGAAACAGTGTTTCATTGTGAAAGTGTGAAAGTGTGTGCCCTTCCAGGAAAAACAGAGCAAAATGGGACAATAACAACTTAAACAATCTCATTCACAAGGGCAGTAAGGCTTTTAAATTTGCAAATTCCTCCAAAGAGTTCCAGCAATAATGCAAAATTAAATTGATGGCTACAAAAGGCAAAGCCATGGAGAATTTGGACCCCCTCCAGGCTCTGTGCTTTGTACAGAATCGTATTGCTGCTGAATGCAATAGTGTATGTTAAGTTGTGATGTATCAAGAGGGAGTTGAAGATTATGACTATCGTTAAATTTATTTGTTGAAGGCTCCTTGGGTTCCTGATTTGCAAAGGGCAGGTGTTGTGAATGATAAGGACAGAGTGTAAAACTTCTACACACAGGTTTCTGTCTTGTCGTGCATTTTGAGCACGACTTAGCCCATCCTAGACCCTCTGTTCCTCCATGCTATCACTAGAAACCATCTATCACTAGAGAGCCCTGAAGCCCAGCCCCGTCGAGCATCATTCTCTCTTCTGAACCTGGCACGGCCATGGGAAGAGTTGCTGATGCCTGATTCAGGTAGATAGGAATGCCCACACAGGGCCAGGCCCAAGTAGCAGTGCGCTTCTGAAGTGAACTAACCACTGTGAGATGTGCTGGGGCATTGCTTACATCTGCAGCTTCTACCTCTGCTCTTTCTTCAGAATACAATCTAAGTCCAAGTGCTTCATGTAACTTTACTGAATGTACTCTGGAATCAATCATACATGACTCTGAATAGACTTTGGGTGGCACCAGATGCCTTTCAGCCGACGATACCTAGAAACTCAAGTCCAAGAACCAAGCCCCATATCACAGCTTAGTTGTTTTCATTATTAGATTATAATTACAGAACTTCAACTACAAAAATTATGTCATTTCAGAGGCTTCTATAAGCATAGCTTATTAGATATAGCCCAAAATCATGATACATGAGAGACTGAGTTATTAAATTTTAGCATATTCCAGGCTGAATAATGGTTTTATGGGCAGCTCTTGATATGAATATACCTAAATCACAACCAGCTGGTTTAACATACACATAAATTGTGTTCACATGATTGAACAAAATTTATTGTGAAATAGGTAAATTGACACCAGCTGTGGACTCAATTTCAGGATCTTCATGGTAGCAAATAAAGAGCAGACACTGATTTTATATGCAGATTAGCATAATCTTATCAGTCTATATATCGAGATAGTGTGCAAAATTCCTTCCTCACACTTGATTCAAACAGTTGAAACCTAAGTATTACTGTTCTTCCACCTTTCTGTTTCCTTCCTTCCTTTGTTCCTTTTTTCCTTTCTCCTTTCCTTTCATTAAAAAAAAAGTCATTGATACATTTATAACATGGGAAGAATCACTGCTAATCTCGTATTGTAAAATAGTTTTATAAAGTGATGAATATTCTTAGTTTTGTGTGTGTGTGTGTGTGTGTGTGTGTGTGTGTGTATGTGTTTATTGAATGTAGATGTTACATGATTAAAAGGAATAACCTTTCTAGAAGGACTTGGGAATGTAGAGAAGTAAAGTTTGTGTCTTTATTTCTAATATGTTGTAACCAGATCACAGCTTCAGTTAAGCACATCATTACCATCCCATCCTTATTAAGAAATGACCTAGTTCAATGGTTCAACTCATCTACTTGTAAGTAACTGGCTGGCTTCATAAGAATTACCTAGGGAGTCTTATGAATACAAATCGCTAGGTTTTACCTTCAGAGATTTGGATTTAGGAGGTAGGGCCTAGGAATCTGTATTCAGGAAATCCCTCTAAG